CTTGGTTTTATTGTAATTCCTTATTTTTTTACATTTATATTAGTTATAAAAACTCACTCCAGGCTAAAATTTGGCATACAAATCTAGGTATCTTACAGTGGATTTGAAGTTACCCCATCAGTTTTTAGTAGGTAATAAAGCATGGCAGCTTAAGCAGTCCTATGCCATATATAATATAAATAGTGAGAGAACAGAGCAGGCCAGTATGAAACTACACATTTGTCCAAAGCAGAAAATGTATGAGGTTGAGCCAACAGAAAGATGTTATAGATACTGTAGCAGGAAGACTCATGGGTAGACACTCATAAGGGTTATGTATAGCTGAGAAAAGAAAGGAGGTTAAGTGATGGTGAATTTGGAGAGTAAGATTTCATAGATTTTATAGACATTAGGGCTGGAAGAGACCTCTGACCCCAGCTGACCCACCTGACCCTTGGGCAGGGGGGCTGAACTCGATGATCTTCCAAGGATCCCAGCAAGATAAATGTCCAAATATCTCTTAAAGGAGTCTGGAGTAGGTGCTTGGACCACCTCTGGAGGCAGTCTGTTCCAGGCCTTTGGGGCTCGGAGAGTAAAGAAGTTCTTCCTTATGTCCAGCCTAAAACAGTCTTGGAGTTTGTGACCATTTGACCTTGTCATCCCTTGGGGTGCTCTGATGAACAGGCGCTCCCCCAGGTCCTGGTGTACACCCCATATATACTTATAGGCAGCCACCAGGTCCCCCCTGGCACTTTTCCAGGCTGAAGGGTCTCATGGCTCTCAGCCTCTCATCATAAGGCCTGTTCTCCTGCCCTCTGATTATGCATGTGGCTCTCCTCTGGACTCTCTCGAGCTTCTCCACATCCTTTTAAAATTGTGGAGCGTAGAATTGGATGCTGTACTCCAGTTGCGGCTTCACCAAGGCCGAGTACAGCGGGAGGATGACATCCTGGGATTTGCTTGAGAAGCATCTATGGGTGCAAGCCAGAGCTTTCCTCACTTTACCAGCTGTGACATTGCATTGGTGGCTCATGTTCACGACTGTCTGCATGGAGCCCGGCACCATAGGTTCCGTCTGGGTGAAGACCTCAGAAGCACTGGAGGGTGAGGCCTCAGACTCTGAGGGGTCCGCTTGGGGAGGTCCTGGGGGTCCCTAGGGTCACAAGGGCATAACTGGCTTCTGCCCAAGCATCTCTCACCAGAGCCGGGGACTGAGTGCAGCTTCTGCTATTGGTGGGCCCTTTTTAAACTGCACAAATGCACAGAAGGGCCCACTGGCACCACACCATGCTTGGGGGGCTAGGGCATCCCTCCCCCCACCAATGGAGGGGACAGGTAAGTGGCCCCCCCTTCCCTGTCTTGTGTGCTGGGCGGCTCCAGTCATGTGGCTTCCTGGGGGACAAGAGTGTGACCCTCCTTGGCTCCACTCAGCTGCCCTGCAGCTGGGCTGCATCCATCCCATCATGGGCCCCTGATTACCTCCAGGCAGGCCGGGGCTCATTGGGGATCCTGGGATCCACTTGGGGGGTCCTGGGGTTCCCTGGGCTCATGGAGGTGCTTCCGCCCATGTGTCTCTCTGTGGAGCCAGGGGCTGAGATCAAAATTAAGGATATATTTATTCTGCTTCCACAATGCTTTCAAGAGTGCCTCCAGAAATTGAGGATACCTGCCCAGATACCAGTTTCTTGCATGCTTCAAAATGGCAATGCGGGACAACCCCCAAAATATTCTTCCCAAATCAGTTCCAAGGTTGGAACAAGTACAGAGTCTTAGCTGTCTCAGAAACATGAGAGAAACTGTGTAAATATACCTTTTGAAATACCAAAAAAAAAAAAAATTGGTTACACAGCTGCAACAGCTTCAAGTATTTCCTGGTGCAGTTTTTATAAAATGTGAAGTAACTTGATATTTAAGCTGTGGAGTGAAAAATCAACCCCTAGTGCTTTGAATACTGTCTGTCCATGCAGGGAAAAGGTAAGAGGCTTGCAGTGGGGGATTCCAAATACTATAAAAGGGTAGTGTTATTGAGCTTTCATGCTGACAGGTCAAGTGATATAGTGAAATCTCTTATCAACTGAGGAAAGTTGAAAGCCACATCAAATATACTTCATTGCAAATTGTAGTACAATATTTTATTCCATACAACACACTTTTCCCCCAGAATGAGTCCCCAAAATTGGGGTACTTATATTAGGTAAAAAATCTAATTCTCTGCCTGGATAGAAGCACTCTGATTTCATAGATTTCATAGACATTAGGGCTGGAAGGGACTTCGGAAGATCATTGAGTCCAGCCCCCTGCTGGAGGGTCACGAAGTCAGCTGGGGTCACAGGATCCCAGCAAGATAAGCATCCAATTTGCTCTTGAAGGTGTTTAATGTAGGTGCTTGAACCACCTCCAGTGGCAGGCTATTCCAGACCTTGGGGACTCGGACAGTGAAGAAATTCTTATGTCCAGCCTGAAACGGTCTTGCAGTAGTTTATACCTCGTCATCCCCTCAGGCACTCTGGTGAGCAATCGTTCCCCCAGATCCTGCTAAACACCCCTGATAAACTTATAGGTGGCCATCAGATCGCCCCTGAGCCTGTGCTTTTCCAGGCTAAAGAGTCCCATAGCTCTCAGCCTGTCATTGTAAGGTCTGTTTTCTTGACCTCTGACCATGCACATGGCTCTTCTCTGCACTCTCTCAAACTTCTCCACATCCTTTTTGAATTGTGGAGCCCAACACTGAACGCAGTACTCCAGCTGCGGCCTCACCAAGGCCGAGTACAATGGGAAAATGATGTCCCGGGATTTTCTTGAGAAGCATCTATGGATGCAAGCCAACATTTTGCTTGCTTTACTAGCTGCAGCATCACATTGCAGGCTCATGTTCATTTTGTGGTCAGTCATGACCCCCAAGTCCCTTTCATCCATAGGGCTAGCCAGCGTAGCACTGCTGAGCCTACAAGGATGCTGCAGGTTTTTCCTCCCAAGGTGGGGAACCTTGCATTTTGCGTTGTTAAACACCATCGGGTTCTCATCCACCCATTTGCTGAGCCTGTCAAGGTCAGCCTGAATCGCCCTCCTGTCCTCAGGTGTGGATGCTTTACCCCAGAGTTTGGTATCGTCGGCAAACTTGACCAGTCTGCTTCTGACTCCAATGTCCACATCATTAATGAAAATGTTGAACAATATAGGTCCAAGGACAGAGTCTTGGGGGACCCCACTGATCACAGAGCACCATGACGATTGACTTCTATCAGCCACCACCCTTTGGGTCTGACTACGGAGCTTTAATTCCATCTTCACAGTGCAGCAGCTGTTGCATTACCATTCAAGCAGCCAAGAGAGTCCATTGACTTAATGGCTTATAGTTCTTCACTCCAGAGGTATTAACAATTATCTCTCCTTTTTAATCATCTTGATGTTCCACTAATTCAGCTAACCTTTTTAAAGACAGTTTTGCTCAGCTGCTAGGTGTTCAGCTAAGTTAAGCAGAAAAAGAAGGGTAAACCAGCTGAAGATTAGGTTCTCTCCCTGTTTTGTGCAGCCATAACTGGAAAAAAAATTCCCCTCATTTTGCCTTTCAAAAACAAGATCCTGGATTGTGTTATATACAAGAAAGTACAGTAGCTCTTGGAGAGGTTCAGTAATCCAGGATGTGACTTATCTGCTTACATACTGGAGGCAGCTCAGTCCTGCTACCAGGTGATTATGAGAAAAGACCATTGCCCTGGTTAGGCACACTAATATGCTGTAGCCAGGGTCCCATTATGTGAAGAGTAGTGTGTAAACCTAAATGAGGGGTTTACAATCTAATAGTGTTCTCATTTCACAGTCAAGAAATTCAAGGCACCGATTAAGTAATTTAGGCAGAGTAATACAGATCTGGGTTCACTTCCTGCCAAGTTCACACAAACTTAATCTGGCTGAAAGCTTTAACCACAAGACTAGTCTCTCTCAAAATGCTTACACTAAATGAAATTAAAATTGGAAACTAATTTATCTACTGCTTTATTTTTCAGTCCTTTTGCTCTTTGCTTTTCCCAGGCATTAGCAGCTGCTTCCCTTGAGCATCACCTCACTCACTGCATTTCCCAGGAGATACTGGACACTTAAGAATTTGTCTTGTCCTTTGGTGGTGGTGTCTACCATCCCCTTCCTGCTGGCAGAGCAGCCACAGAGCTATCTTTTAAGCTTAAAATAAATTCTACTTTTGCTTGTGAGTCAGATTTCTTGGTATTCTCAGAGGAAGCCTTACCAACACAGTTCTCAGGTAACAGACCCTCATTAAGTCCAAAGTATTCTACTTTGCACCCTCAACACAAATGGGGAAATGGATGAAACTTTCCACAGCAGGCTCACCCCACTCCTGGAAGACATTTCCACTTGAATTGTAATGCTGAATAAAACACTGAAGACTAGAATAAAGGATTCTGTGGAAAGGAACTAGCATGAAATAATCACACAAGGTTGCCAGAAAATCACAGCACCTTATCTTTAGACAAGTGAAAAGTTCTTCCCAGTGAGAGTTTGTTCTTCCTTAGCCACTTGACAATAAGTATACAAATTGTAGTCACTGGAATTGCTCATCAGCTTTACTTCCTTCCTGAAAAGAGGTACATATAAGGCTGTAGTTAGAGGAGACTATCAAACTGCAAAACAGTATTTATTGTCTTTGTCACTGTCTACTAAACCATAGAGGTTTTGCCATGTTTTCTCACTTTATTTTCATCTTTATTTTTATCGAGTAAAAAAAAATGGGTTTTTGGTCATAAAAAAGAAAACAAATAGCACTAAACTGAAAAACACATATAAATGAAATACCTCAAGTCTGTTTCTGCCCATTTGATTTCACTGACTTTGCTGGAATTATGTCAATGGAAACAAGAGCAAAATTTGTCAGTTATATTTGCAGTTAATCTCCAGTTAATAGCTATTATATTTTAATTTAATTTTGCTATGTAGATCAATGGCTTTTGAAAAATAGTAGCTTATTAAAACAGAGAAATCTAGTGATGATTTTTTATGTACTTCAGGTTATAGATTCTGAGTGCGAGACTGAAGACTTGCCAAACTATGGAGAAAGTAATGAACGGCTTTGGTTGAACAAAGGTAAAAGCATAAATTGCCACTTTCATTTCTATACTGCATTCATGGAAGTGTTGCTAGGAGTATTTGGAATAAATACTGCAATTTATAAATATATATATATTTTGAAGCTATAATGGTTTAAATATAAGGTCAAAATTCAGTTTCAAGGAAAACTTGCAAATGGTGTTTAAAAGGACCAAGATAGGGTTACAGCATCTGTATTAAATATCAATGAATTTTAAAACATTCTTTTAAGAAATTACTTTCAAACGATTATTGAAATCTGTACTCTTGTTCTTCTCATGTTCCTTGCTAAATGTGTAGATTTATTTGAAGGAAAATGCAAGTGGCCTGACATACAAACACGCATTTGTCTTGATCAGATGGATCCTACAAAAATAAAGGGAAATAATGTGCCTCCTTCAAAGGTGGAAAGGTGAGAATAGTACTATTACCAAAATACAAAATGGCCATTTTCAAATTATTTGTAATGACTGTAGCTAATGATACCAAATATAGTAATATATTGTATAACATTGAATACAACATGCCAAAGAGCATACTAAGAATAAGGCTATTGATCTTACAGGCTATCACAGTAAGTAGCAGCTTCCCTGTAAAATTAAGACTTGACTTTTTATGGTTGTTATTTATACTATGTATGTGGTGAATTTTAGAACATTTGCTTCCAAGCCTCAGGCCTATTCCAATCACCAGTATAAACTGGACCACTTCAGTGCAGCCATTAGAGTTAGGTAAATGTGAAATTACTGTCAGAATTCCATAGGAACCATGTGATGATCCAGGAAATAAGAAAGAGGCAAGGATTTCTGGTGGTGATTATCTTTTATTGGACCAAGTGCACGGTTGGGAGATTTGGACAATTTTTTGAGTGCAAAGTACTCTTCAGATCACAGGTGCCTTACACGTGAAAGCTTGTCTAAATGCATCTAAGTCATGTAGTCGGTCCAGTAAAAAATATCACCTACAGAAATCTTTGCCTCTTGCATGCAACCAGTTTGGCATTCTGCCAACAACCTTGATTTCTTTGGGTGAGTGGGTGTAAATGCTACCACATACTTCTATGCAAAAGGGGTCCAGTAACTGGAAAGTATATGTAAGCAATATTATAGGCATTAAAGCCATGCTATGTCAAAATGAGATCGTAAATATTTTTCCTCTAACTAATTCAGCCCCTTATGTTGTGGGTAGAAGTAAGTTCTATACTTTATGCATCATGCAGTACTTTATGTAGCGCCTACATAAGCCTAGGAAAAGCAATGTATTGTTTCCTAAAACCAGGGAAGTCAGCTTAGCAGGTTTACAGGAGTCTGTCAAATTAGAGAACAATACACAGTTCCAGTCCTGCTAGGCCAGTCCCCTGAGTGAGTAAATATGTATGTTCCTCTTGTCCTTGAGAGATTCAGGTTTATGTGCTATCTCTCTTTATTTGAAAATTATTTTCATTCTTACTATGGCAGCTCAATCTGTATCTATGGTTTATAATAAAGTGAATAAAAAAAAAGATACTTCATCACTTCCTTTTGGCATAACACTTACAACCGATCTGTGGTCTACTTTTTTCTAGTTCATTGGCTGAAGATCTAAAAGAGCATGCTGAAAGAAAAGTCCAAGTGATTATGCAGTCGGCTGCTACAGCAAAGCTTACAGAGTCCCCCCAGAGCTTGTCTGGAAAGAAAACTGTAGAGATATTAACATCTCACTTAAGGTGAGAGTTTCTTTGCCAAATGCTTTAACTTGAATGGTTGTGATGCTTTTCACAGTATTTGTGTAACTGCAGCTTTTTAATCCAACCCAGTTGAGCAATGCTACACTTTGGAAACTTTCACTATTTGAGAAGTCCATAAAGGAATCTAAATAGTATTTGAATGTCATGCACACTGCCCAAAACATTAGAAAAATTGAATCAGATCTTCAGCAGTATACTAATCCAGTTTTAAATGCCTAGCTTATGTAGTAATTTCCAGATGGACATATGCAAGTTAGGGCCTTTGTACATGCCACAAAATTGGCCTTTAAATCAGCTTAAATGCCCTTTTGCACCACTTTAATGGCATTGCTGTTTGCATGTTCAGCAGCATATTCTGTTTTAATGATGTTCGTTTGCACATTTGGCAGCGTATTCCAATTTAAATGACTTTGGTACATAGCAAGATAAAACACCTCTGAGATGTTTTAGTTTGCTACCTAACAAAGTGCATAGTGCATGGGACGCTGGAAGCTGACATGCTTGGGGCTTCACAGGCCACACGCAGCTCAAGGGCTATGGGACCTGCCGGCAGCCCATGCAGGCAGGCTCCACTGAAGAAAAAAAAAAAGGGCGAGCCTGATCTTCATTTTTTTTTCTTTATCTCCCTGGAGCCTGCCTGCCTGAGCTGTATGGAAGCCTGGTACTTCCCTCCACGGCTGGGTAGAGGGCTGGTGCTTCCTTCCACAGCTGTGGTGCCCCCCTGGGACTGTCCAGCTTGGGGACCACTCAGCCTGCCAGCAGCTTGCCCCTGCCATCCCCACTGCCAAAGAGGCAGGTAAGGATCAGGCCCAAACCCTTGTGTACATGCCACAGGGGGTTAATTTGGTTGAATTCTTCCTAAATTGGAGCAGTATTTAAAAGTCCACTGTTTCAATTTAGGGAGAACAAACCAAATTAAACCCCCATGACATGTACAAGCAGGCTTGGAGTATACTTATTAAGGTATTTGCCTAAATTTGCTAATGGTTTTGAAGTTCATCTCCAAGTTTTGAGGGATCTGTATGTAAAAAGAAGTGAGTTCAGTAAATGCTACAAAATGTGCATTAGCAAAGATTTTTTTAACAAGGGCATGAATTTACTGATTCCTCTAATGCTGGCTTCAACACAGTGAGACTAAGAAGTATTGGTCTCCTTTCCTGTCATACAACTTGATTGTGATGATAAATTTTCATTTCATTCTGTTAAATCTATATCTTGTTGACAACCTCTCTTCAGAGTCCATGCCAGCTGTATTGCCCAGGGCAGTAGCGCTGAGGGGTCATTTTTCAAGTCACCAGAAGTGAAATACTGTGTTCTTCCTTGTGGACAATGGCTTGCATCGAGTGGGCAAAAAGTGGTTGTGAGTTCAGATGAATTGCTTACAGATGTAGATGGAGCTTGATGGTGAAAGTTGCCCATCTTTAACCCTTAAACTGCTAGGTAAACTTTTTGGCAGGTTCTGTGCCACTAAAACAGAAAGGTGTATGTGTGGACAGCAAAGGTCAGAATCTATTCTGCATTGTTCAAGTCCATGAAAATCGCATCTGATTTTGTAATAGACCATCATCTTACCCTGAAGACTGAGTCACAGAAAAATAGAGAGGAAGAGGAGGACCCACTTGCCTTTTACTGTTTTTCAAGGACTTGAGCAGCGTAGAGTATTATACCGCATAGGGACCCTACATCCACTTACATGCTCAGTAAGTGAAATAGAATCTTGGCTTAAGATGCATTTTCTTGATGAGGTGCATATTGTCTACGTAGCAACCCTAACTCATTAGCCAGTGCCATTTGATTTATTTTTCCTGCTGGTCATTATTTTTTTGTTTTGTTTTTTCTTTGTTTTTATTTCAGAAATAACTATGATTTCAGGTCCTGACCTGATTTCCTTGGGTCTTTTGTTTTTGAGGTTTCTGCTTCTTTCTGGCTACAGAAAAAGTTATAATCTATGTTTTTAAAAATAGAATGGGAGAAAGACTCCTTAAAAGCAATCTCTGCCTTCAGACAGAAATCTATTGTGTGATATGTAACAAATGTTAGAATTCAGAATATATTCTACGTCCACACTACAAAAATGGAACATAGCTTCCAACACCAGATCTGCAAGAAAGACTGCCAAATCCAGTGAAGGACTAGTCCTTAAGTGGTATCTAAAACATTGGAGAGTGGCTCCAAGACTCCTTAAATTATGTATGTGGAAAATTGGGCACTCTGAATGGTTCTAAAACAAACACACTGAGCAGGAAGCTACCTTGAGTCAAAATGCTCATTCTCCTGCTGCCTGGAGCCAAGCCATAGGGAGATGCTGATGACAGAACCAAGTTTTAAATCCTGGGATCCAGCCACCTTATTCATGGCTGTTGGGAGGTGCTTCTAAGCAGTGAAGATCTGCAGCTGTAGCAGTTTTCTGGAAATAGGCCCCTATACTCATTCCTTCACAGAACTGATTGGAATTTACTCTTTCCTTTTACAGTCAAGGAGAAAGTGCATATGGTGTCCTTTTATGTAGCAGTCTAGTGGTTGGAGCAGTCTGGTAAAAAAAAAAAAAAAAAAAAAAGGA